GCACTGAGTGGGAAGCCAGAGTGTCTGGTTTTAGAAGAGCTTCTGCTACTTACTGGCTCCTCCGTGGCGAGAGAGGAGTGATGGATGTAGCACCCACTTTGAGAATCACTCTGCACATTTAGAGCTCTGTGAAGAATACCTGAGACAGAGCAAGCATTCGGTAAGCATATCTATTATTACTATTGTGCCACGTGATTCCAGCAGGGCTAAAATAAGACATGAAGGCGCCCTGCTCCCAGACACCAAAGATCTTTTTCAGGAAACACTCAAAAATAAGTCTTGGCCTATCCCCAATACTTGCTAGTCCCAGGAAGGAGCTTCTGAATTTACAGAACCTTTGGAGAGCACCCACCCCATACTCTCCTTTGAATTCTGACATCTACATTCATATGCATGCGCGCGCGCGCGCGCGTGTGCGCGCGCGCACACACACACACACACACACACACACACACACACACACACACACACACATACACAGAGAGAGAGAGAGAGAGAGAGAGAGAGAGAGAGAAAGCGCTGCCATCTGAGTAGTATTGGTACTAATTGACCTAGGTCCTAGTACCATAGGGTAGCCCCTTGCGTTGTACACAGAGCTGAGAAGAAGGAGCTATCCCCTGCTCACTGTCAAGTTTCTGGTCAACTTTGTGACCTAAATCGTCTCACAAAGTGAGCCCGGTGCCCAGGGGAGCAATGGTCATTTTTTGAGGTCTAACTCAAAAAGAGGAATCTGTACTCTCTAGGGCAAGTAGGTATTCTGGGCCCCTCTTACTTCTGTCTACACATGCCACAGAGATGGCCCAAGGAGATGGACTGAGGCTAGAGATGAGAACTACTTTATAGAGTGATAGCCATAGCATTAAGAACAGAGGAATGTCTGCTGGTCCCAGACCAAGAGTAGGAGCCATCCTGTCTTCCGTGTTAGTATTTACAGTTTTGGCACACAAAGGCAAATCATGATTTAATGTGATGGATCATTAAACTGTGCTTTCAGATGCCAGTTGGTAAATTAGTCCACATCTGACTGGTGGAGCTGAGACAGAAGAGAGAGAGCGGGGGAGATTTTACTGATGCCGACGTCTACGTCTAATAGTCTTTTCATTATTCTGAGATTGTGGCCTTTTCTGGAATTTATGGCAGATGATGTTGATGTGTGTATATATATGGTTTGTAGTAAATTACAACAATGGAGTGGATGTAGAGTCCTAGAAAGGCAAGATAAGGAGAGAAGGGGGAAAAAACAAACTACCCATAGAACAGTGATTCTCAACCTGTGGGTCTCAACCCTCACGGGGGTTGCATATCTGATATCTTGTATATCAAATATTTACATTGCAATTTATAACAGTAGCGAAATTATAGTTTTGAAATAGCAACAAAATAATTTTATGATCGGGGCGTCACTACAACATGAGGAACCGTATTATAAAGGGTCACAGCGTTAGGAAGGTTGAGAACCATTGCCGTAGAAGAAAACATGCATTTCACATACACAGGAGAGGGATGGTACCTGCAGAGATCCAGAATGGACAAAGAGCAGTGTGTGGCTGGAATATTGAGGGTATGGCAGTCTGGAGTCGGGAGAACCAAGGAGGGGTGGTAAGCCATGATCAGGTGTCTCAGCTGTATTTTGTGAACAATTAGGTAGCATGGAAAGGTGCAGAGGCTGCAGCTTTCAGCCGGTCACTCCTGTGGCTGCAGCTCCAGTGCATTGGGAGGAGAAAGGAAGTCGCTGCAGTCATCTAGAAAATCCTGGGTGGGAACATAGAGAAACAGCCAGATGGAAAGATAAGGAAGACGAATTGCTGAGCTGGGTTTAATTAGGGTGGGTATGGGGGAGAGAGAATCAGGGTTAGAAACCATGTCTTGGGCTGGGGCACATGGTTGATGATGAGTTGGGGAATACATGTGAGAGGCTGAGAGTGAGTGAAGAACTCATTCTTGGGGATACCCAGTAGACGATGCTCCTTGGTGAGTTACAGCTGGGGCATGAGCCAACACGTGGGCTGATTGATGGCCCAGAGAGAAGGACGATTCAGAAAAGTACGGCCCAGGAGAAAGTGTTTGAGGAATGAACGGCAGGGCTTCCAATGAGGGGAGGAGGAGGAGAGTCAAGAGGATGTGGCTGTGAAGGAGGCAGCCATGCTAGGGCCATGTCACCGAGGCCAAGGGCCAAGAACAAACCAAGGACGTCAGAGCATGACTAGTAGGTTGATGGCTGTGAAGTTGTTGTTTCACACCATGAAGAAGTGATGGGAAGGGAACCTTGATGGGGATATTCTCGGAGGAGAGGGTGGCAAAAGAGCCCTTGAAGGCTATGGTAGCTGATGACATTGAATGGGATGACAATGTATGATGGGGACTGTCTATAGTGTCTGATAGGTTTTCTAAGCCTGGATGCTTTAAGGAAGCTGAGTAAGTTCAGTCAGTAAAAACCAAAAAACAAAAAAATACTTACCTCTACTGCACAGTAGTCACCTTGGGTAGGTCAATCCACTGTTCTGGTCCTCAGTTTCTTCATTTGTAATAATAAAAAAAAAAGGGTGGGGCAAGCAAGCAGCTGGATTTCTAAACTGATTGACACCACATTCCATTCTGTTTGGTTTAATATGTGATATGCTTTAGTAAATCAATAACTATATTTGAGTTTCCAGTATATAGGAACCTATATGTACTATGAAAGGGGAGGGTGAGCTCAAGGGCGCAGATGTGCTAGGTTTTGAGGGAGAAGTTTGGGGAATGGCAGACCCCTGAAGGTCTCAGAACCTCTAACAGGTCCATATTCCTTCACGAGGCACCAAAAGTAATATTTTATGTAAGCTAATCTAATCTTCATCGAATATTATCTGCCAAATCCTCTTGGCCCGTGTCTACTTTATTCACCAAGCATGCAGACATCTCCCAGAAATGCTGTCTAGCAGCTCACAGTGAAGGGGGGCAATTAGACAGATGATCTTCAAGGACCCTTCTGGCTGGATATTACAAAAACCCATCAGAGTTTATTTTTTGGGGGGGAAGAGGGGGTGTCAAAGAAAAGTCTTCCAGCTATTGGTGCTGCCTCTAAACTAGAAACAGATACTGAGTGAGCATTTAAGCAAGTCGGAGCAATATGGTCTCATACCCGGCTGCCCACTCCCTACTTATCTTCCTGGTTTGTCGTGACAGACCCCATGGGACTCTCTTACCTTGCCAGGAGGCAGGATGTTCAGGACTGATTTCCAGGATCATCGTTCTGATCTACAGCCTGCAATTAATCAGACTGTGGAAGGGGCCGAGAAGTGTCAAGGCATAAATTTTTCGAGAGATCGGAGGCTGCTGGCAGTAGATCCAGGAGATGCTGATATTCTCTAAAGAACACGATATGAAGACCCATATAGCTGGACTGGCGAAGAACATATTGGTAGTTGACCTAGCCAGATCTACCCTGAGACCAGGTACCCTGCAGAGTGGCCTGGTGGACCAAAAAGGAGGAATGTCTGTGGTAACATTTAGGATAGCATTACAAAAAAAAAAAAAAAAAACCTTACAATTCTGTAAGGGAATTTAGCCTCCGTGTACTCGGGCATCCATTGTGTGAAACAAATTCCCTTCCATCATTGTAGGTAGTCCCAGCAAGAAATGAGAAAACAGTTCTTCCAGGTGGCCCACACTGTCAGATTTCAGTGTATGTAAAACTATGGAAGGAGAATCTTGAATTGGGAGCCATCCTAGGACATTTAGTGAAGTGATGTCCAAAGAAGGAAGGAAAGGGGGGAGGAAAAAGGGAAGGAGAGAGGGAGAGAGGAAAAAAAGAAAAATATCATTCCAATACTAATTTTTCTCTACATGTAGAATCCTCAGGACATCACTTACTTAGTATTACCTTGTGGGTGGAAGCCAGCAGAGCATGGACAAAGGGTCCCATGGGGACTCTTGGACCACAGAGTATTGAAGACGGACAGAAGACGATGTAATTCCATGGCTCTTCCTCCAAGTACGCAAGGAAATTTGTGTTTTACCTAGGAGAGCTTTATGATGATGATGGTGATAATGGTGGTGATGATGGTGATGATGATCCTCCTCCTCCTTCTCACCCCCCTCCTCCTCCTTCTCACCCCCCTCCTCCTCCTTTTTCTTGCCTCCTCCTCTTCTTCTAATGCAGCCAAGGTTGCCTGTATTAATCTGTTTTGTACAACATTTATACCAACCCCCACAGGGTTTGCATATCAGATGTTTACATTACAATTCATAACAGTAGCAAAATTATAGTTAAAGAGCAATGAAAGTAATTTTATGTTTGGGGATCATCACAACATTGAGGAGCTTTATTAAAGGGTGGAAGCATTAGGAAGGTTGAGAACCACTGGGTTATAGCTTAAAATGACATTTACCTTCTCATAGTTCCTATGGATCAGACACCCTAGCATGGCATAAGTGGGTCCCCTACTTCAGGGACCCCTCCCATGGTGACACCATTGTCATCACAGAGGTTGGCTCAAGGAAAATCATCCTTCAAGTTCCCTCACATGATTTTTAGTGAGATTTGGTTAACCACAGCCTTGTGTGGAGTTCTACAACATAACAGTGTGTTCTTCCAAAGTGTGTTAACCAGGCTCCTGTAACTTAGTCACAAAAGGGTAAGTGTAGCTAGAGTTTTCCTGCCTTGTCCACAGTCAGGACAAATCTTTGTCACCCGCCAGTCCCACAGCCGCTCAGACCCAACCAAGTAAACACAGAGACTTATATTGCTTACAAACTGTATGGCCGTGGCAGGCTTCTTGCTAAATGTTCTTATATCTTAAATTAATCCATTTCCATAAATCTATACCTTACCACATGGCTGGTGGCTTACCGGCATCTTAACATGCTGCTTGTCCTGGCAGTGGCTGGCAGTGTCTTTCCCTCCTTCTTCCTGTTTCCCCAATTCTCCTCTCTCCTTGTCCCGCCTATACTTCCTGTCTGGTCACTGGCCATCAGTGTTTTATTTATATAGAGTGATATCCACAGCAGGTAAGAAATGATTTGTCTCCATTTTCTCCATTTCCCTAACACCACAGCCGGAGAGGTAAGGGCAAACGCAATCACATGACTCCCAATAAGGGCAGGACTAACTTCTTGGGAGAGAGTTGTGTGTGCCCAAGTGTGCAAGCAGGTGGGGTGGGGTGGGGTGGAGGGGAACACCTTCTGCTCCGCCTCCATCTACCATTCTCTATGGCGTCCATTCCAGGCCAGGAGAAGCCTCAGAGACACACTGATTCCTCTTCTTCCTTCTCACCACCACTAAGCAACTTGCAATGTTCTGTTCATGAGGAAGATGGATGAAGGGAGACAGCCAGATTTGGGACCAGTGACCTTGCCGTAGATATTTCCGCTCCTTGGCAGGGAGTCACCTAGTTCAGCCCACCAAGAGAATGGCTTATACAAAGAGGTGTGGATTGGTGGCCATCTTTAAAGCTGCCTACCACAGTGCCCAGCCAAAGTCCTCTCAGCAGGTCACCTGCCTGCTTTGGCCTACTTTTTCCCTTCTGAGTATACCGAGATTCAGTAACACACTAAGCAATTAAAATGTACCATTGTAACAGCATAGTAACTCCTAGTATCATTTGAAGTATCTTTTATGAGAGAAGGAATTTCTCTAACACTAAGAAAGAATAGCTGTTGAGGCAAAAAGTAGGAACAGTATATGTTTATGCGGATGAAACAAATTAATCTGCATGTGAAATCCCAGTGAAATTGACATGAAATAAAAATTTCATGCCTTCCAGTGTATCTGTGTCGCCCATGAAATGAGATTAAAAGGAATTTCTGATTTTACACTCGTCACACTTTTCTATGCCATCTGCGTCTTGCCCTTCTAAAGAGTCAGGTGTGAACTTGGGGGCCAGCCACAGAGCTGGCATTTTGTATTTTATGTTCATCTCCCTTTTTCCCCCCTGAGAGCAGATGTCCTTCCACAGAGTGAAGCTCGGAGTGGATTTAGAGGTTCTCTGCTTGAAAAACAAGACCTGATGCCCAAAGCCAGCAGCAAACTCACTGCGCTCCGCTCTGAGAAAACTGATGTCCAGGAAAGGTCTCTGGGCCCAAGGCTGGCTGGCTCCCTTCACCGGCCTTCCTCATGCCCGGCAAGTCACACGCTGGTGCTGAAGAAGGGACCGTGTCTCTGCGGCTTCTTCTGCTTGCTCAGGGGACTCCTTGGGGCACACACAGCTCTCCCCCAAGAAATGAGTGCCACTTTTTTTTTTTTTTTTTTTTTTTTTTTGGTTTTTCGAGACAGTGTTTCTCTGCATAGCTTTGTGCCTTTCCTGGAGCTCACTTGGTAGCCCAGGCTGGCCTCCAACTCACAGAGATCCGCCTGGCTCTGCCTCCCGAGTGCTGGGATTAAAGGCGTGCGCCACCACCGCGTGCCTGAGTGCCACTTCTATTGGGAGTCATACGCCTTTATCTCGCTGGCTCTGAAGTTAGGGAAATGCAACCTATGGAGATCAATTATTTTCTCAAACTGGGACTGGCCTTCTACAGAGCAACCGGAAGTGGGGGCGGGGGTTAGAAAGGAATCCAGAGTCTGTTTAGGATCAGATGCCCGTGAAGTGTTTGACCCAGTCTTGCAGCGGACACGTAGTCCCCACCCTGTGAGACTCCCCGTGGGCAGCATCTCTCTTGGGGTACCCCCAGAGAGCAGTTCCCTCATCTTCCCGTCTCTGGCCAGCAGCACAGCTCGTTCTTCCCTCCTAGGCTCCCCCGGTTTCTAGAACGTGTAGAAACTCCTTTTTCTGAGTGGAGTTTGAGTGTGCAGTGCCCACGGTGTGAAGAGGCACAGAACAGACATGAGTCACACCTGGGGCGGTCTGGCACGAGGGTACTCTAGCATGGGATAAGCCTCACACATCTGGCTCTAGTCCCCTTCGCTAGTTTCACTGAGTATCTCAGCCTCTCTCTGCCAACCTCCTGAGTCCTCCTCTGTCAATGAAATTATTGAGGCCACTCCACGTAGTTAAAAGGGAGGTTTATTTTGTGGGGTCACTTACAAGTGAATGCATAGTTTAACAGAGTCTGGGAAAGGCGTGGCGCAATCCGGCGGTGTTCTCTGGAGAACTCTGCTCGGTCTACCTCCAGCGTCCAGGGTCCAGGAACCAGGAGAGCTGGTGCATCTGGCACCCGGGTCTTCAGCGTCCTCCCTTGGCCCCGCCTCCTTGTAGGCGTGACAGTTACCGAAGCCTCAATGGGGGTTGGAACTTCCAGATCAAAGCTGGAATGGCTACCCACTACACTCCTCAGTCCATCATGGTGGGGAGAGCCCGCCCAGGGGAGCACATTTATCATGGCAGACAGGAAGAAGAAACAGAAAACAGACCGGAGACCTGTTACAACCTTTAAAGGCACACACCCCAAATAACCTCCTTCCTCCAACTAAGTCCCCTCCATAGCAGCTTTCCAGAGTGGGACAACCCAGCATTTAAAACAGGAGCCAGAGTGAGGGAGCATTCTATGTGCAAACCATATCAGTAGTGGGAACTGGAAAACAATAGGCACTTCCTAAGCTCTTGTGAACATTAGACACCCAAGGTACTCCATATAGTGACTGGTGGTAAGGGTTCCCGCCAGTGGTCATTTAAATACGCTGCGTGGTGGGTATTGGTGCCACCCTTAACCAGGACACTAAGGGCCAGAGAAGGGAAATCATTCATTGGTGAACCCCAATCAACTGTTTAACCTGAGAGTCCCCCATACCAGGCTGTCTGATTCTTACTGTGTCGGGTTGCATTTTTGGATGATGCCCTCCACCCAGCTCTGGCCATGGTGCCCACTCAGTAACTGCCCTCAGTCTCTCCCTTCCAGGGTGCCAGAGCCCCCTTCCCGGCTCAGAGAGCCATTGAGCAGCTCTCTATGTTAGCCTCATAGTAATAATAATGATGCTCTCACTCTGCTTTTAAGTTAGCTGGCCTGCCTCTCTATCACTCCCTCTGGTTTTTATCTTCCAGCCTAAAATCCCAAATGGTTTATAATTTATGACCAAGCGTTTTCTCCCAGCATGTGGTGAGGGGAAGACCATGTGTTGTTCCAGGGCCATAGGGACCACTAAGAGCTCCTAGCTCATTAGCCAAATGGGGGTGACCATGATCATCGTCATGTTCTCCCTTGCAGGCAGCTGCAGTAGTTTACAAATATGTGGAATAAAAATGGAGGGTGCTGTGTGCACATCATTACTGTGGTAACTGACAGGCATGTTGCTAATGTGCTGAGGTTCATTTAGGTATGGGGGAGGGACAAGGACACAGCACTTCACAGTGGGGTGCGGGAAGGGTGGGGGAAGTCTCCTCCTATGCCCAGGGTTGGCCTCAGAATTGCTCCCTGGAAGTACCCTCAGCCTGTGACCCTGAACCTCCCCAAGGTTGGGAATCCAGAAGGCACATTGAGCCTCACCTTTGTTTGGGGAAAGTAATGGGTCTCTGATGAGTCTTTCAAAGAAGAAGAAGGAGGTACAAAACTGTTTAAAATCATCCTGGAGGAATGTGTTATTCAGGAGCTGCTGTGGTGGGATGCTCCTCAAACAGCACACACACATATTCATTCTCTCTCTCTCTCTCTCTCTCTCTCTCTCTCTCTCTCTCTCTCTCGTCTATTTCCCCACACAGCTAATGCCTCGTACACCTCCTGGTTCAGAAGATGAGCTAAGCGCTCCCCCCCATACCCCATCTTTCCTACTTGCTGGCTCCTCTCTCCAACAAACCCCCTGAATCTTTAATAAATTATCAACATGCTTTCTCGTCCATCTGCTGGCGCCAGACGTCAGCATTGGCTGCCTTCTTCATTTTGCCTCATGGCCCCAGAGACCTCAGTGTTTGATTCATCTTTTAGGTCCCTCCCACAGAGAGCCCACTTACTGTCTGGGCTGACTCTCCTCTTGGAACGCATCTTTAAGGATTTTTTTCTCAGCCTCAAGTCCTTGTTGTAAGTCCCTAGTGCCTGTCGCTGAGCAGGCTGTGGACCAGGCCTTAGATAGCAGGTGATTCCTGCCTGCCCTGTACTAGGGAGAACATGGGATACTAGGAATCAGTACCAGCTAAGGAGTCACAGACCTGGCTTTCTCATCTCATGCGTGAACCACGTATGTCCTTTGGGGAGGGAGTACTGAGCTTTGGTTTAACTTTCCATGGAGGCTGCTATGAATATCAAACAGATGAAGGGAGATTCCAGACCCTTTGGGCTACACCAGAGGCAGGAAAGCTTGGGGAGGGATACCGGCCTGAGAGCATGAAACACCGTCTTGCCCTCTCTCCTCTGTGGGCCTAGGCATGACAGCAGAGCTCCTTGGCTTTCTGGTACAACCCCAGGCAAGGCCCGTGTCTCACTGCTGTGGCCATAGGAGTTTCCAGGCCCAGGAGAATGCCACCTAGGTTCCAGCTGCTGCTTGCTGCTTTTCTGGTTCGGCTTACCATCTCCAGCCTCCCTCCCTTTTCTACCCTGTGAGCTCCGCATCTCTAGTCAACACACACTACACCCCCCTGAGAGGCCAGCTCAGCTGTTTTCTGCTCCCATTTTCTTGGCACTTGCCAAATGCTTTGTGTGCGTTAGCCACAGTCTTCCTGGCAAGCCTGTGTAGGAGGCTTGTCCTTCTGTGAGGAGAGCTTTGTCCGCATTTTATGGGTGACCGTATTGAAGCTTAGAGGAGGTAAAGTGTCATGTTCTAGGGCTCACAACCAGCATTTGGCAAATCTAGATTCAAATCTAGGCATCAGACCCAGGTTCGCCTCACCAGCATTGATGATGCCACAGTCCCTGAGCTCTGTCCCTTCTCTTGCCTCTCTCATTGCCCCTTAGTCTCTGTCAGTGCCCATGGAGATGCCCACCAAAGACACCTTTCCAACACGAGAAAGATCCAGTTAGGCACAGCAGGAGTCACCTGTATATCTGGACTGATGTTAGAAACAGTAAGCACGTGACTATTTATCTAGCACCTTTTGCTCCCTGCCCTGGTAATCAATGAGGGAGATGTGCAAGTTGGGGTGGCCCTCTCCATTGTGTGGGTGAAGAATCTAACACTGAGGAAATCCAAGTCACAAGTGAGTAGCCCTGTGGCATAGCTGGACCTCGGGTACGAGGAGTGCTTACAGCATTTGGTTCAAATGGCTTGTACAGACTGAAGGTAGGCTACGCCCACAGCTCTTGCTTCTGTGCCTAGGTCTTTGGTGGGAGAGTTTGGACTAACCCTGCTTCATGGGAAAGCAGAGCAGAGGTAAGGCGATTTGCTCAAGGTCCCATGCTGGCAGGTGGTGTCCAGAGCCCCGGACCAGGACTCTGTGGGCTGCTCTACTTCGTTTTCTCTCCATCATCACTTTACCCAATGGGATCCAACATGTTTTCAATGGAGTCTTCTTCACATGTGAGTCAGTTAGCCTCTGCCTGTGTGCACAGGCTTCTGGGTCAGCTGGCATCTCTGAGGCAAGCAAAGTAGTGCCTGTGTCTAAAAGCTCTCTAATCAGGTTGCAACTCCAAAGACCACCATTCTCCCTCGGCTTCCCCCAAATAGCTCAAATCATGAAAGCTAAGGCCTGACTACAGAGGATCTCCAAGCATCTTCCCCCAGAGCGCAGCCACAGCAGCCAGATGTCCTGGCAGTGGTGGCATTCAGGGTCTCCTTTCTCTCCTTGTTTCTGAAAGAGAGCAGGAGGCTACCCTAAGATCTCTGATTTTTACCTCCCTTTCCACAGATAATTTGTCCAGCCCACTCCCTGGTCTCAGGCTTATTCTTCCTGGAGTGTTTAATGCTGCCCACCCCACTGCCTGGGCCTCTCTCCAAGACCCTCCATGTCCTCCATGATCCTGTAATCTCCCAAGCAAGGACCCCAATACCACCATTCCCTATCCCTTTGCCATTGCTTCTAACAAGAGTTGGGGCTATATCCAAAGACAGACAAGTCCAGGTTCTTCTCAATAGAGGCTGTTTCCAAGCATTTTCCTTCCCTTTTTCTAATAGTTTTTAATGCTCAATAAATCATCCCTGATTAAACTGAGTGGCTTAAAACAACAAAACCCATAGACCATCTTCAGTGTCTATGGGTCAGGAATTGGGAGCATCTTGGCTGGGCGGTGCTGGCTTAGCATCCCTCGTTAGGCTTCAGTCAGCAGTCTGTTATAGCTGCTGTTGTAGAAGGCCTGTCTGGAGTGAGTGGATCCACTTCTGATGTACTCCATTCATATGGCTGGATAGCTGGTAGCGGTGAGGGTAGGGGGCCTCATGGATGTCTCTCTCTCTACAGGGATGTCTGAGTGTCTTCACAGCATGATAGCTGTCTCCCCTCCTTGTGGCCAAGGAAGAGACCACAGAGCTTTCATGAAGCCACACAGTGTCACATTTACCATTTCCTACTGGTTATATAAGGATTTGGGGAAGGAGGGGACTCCATAAGAACATAAAAGCTTGTGGGTGGGACTCCCTAGAAGTTATCTGGAAGGCTGCCACATGTCTGAGAACCATAAACGACTGAGTCTTCTGCTGACCTGGGCATGCATGTCCTGACTTTCTTCCTTCTCTATAAAAAGGAATCTGGTAGACATACATAGCCTTGTAGGGATGCCAAATGAATGGAGCTATGGTTCTTCCCTGGATGCGCTCCGTAAAGTTAGGGTTACAGTCTCATGAGAAATGCTAGAAGAGACATCTTCTACATGTCCAAACTATAAGAGTATAAACAGCAGATCATTTGCTTGTTGGAGACTTTGGAATGCTTTTCCCAGCAAAGGGGACCTTGACACTTAAGTCTTGAAGGATGACTAGGAACCCATCAAGTGATAGCAAAAGTCATGTGGCATGAGCAGTAACAGAGAGCTTGAGAGCTTGTGAGACTGTGATGATGAAGCTGGAATTTATACATCAGGGGCTACCTGAGGGTTTTGAACCAGAGGAGGGCCTGGCAGAGCCCTGTGGGATGGGACTGGGCAGAAGACTGTGAAGGAAGGAGCTGTCCTACAACCTGCTTGGCTTGGGGATTGACCTCACTGGGACACCAGGGGATGAAGAAATGATAGACTGCACGCAGAAAGCTGGGATCGGGTGGGCCTTGGCTCTGATGAAGATGCACCACCAGCAACATACTGGACACCCAATGCTTTTGTGTTATACATCTTAACCATAGAGGCGAGTTTATTATATAACTGAACAAGGAAGCAGGTTTAGAGTCTCTATAGAGGGACAGTTTCAGGTTGTAGCCAGCCAAGAAGAGGAAGCGGTGGTTGACTATTTATGCATACAATGGTTTTAACTAAAGGAAAATCATTCATAACATCTGTACTTGGACCAGGTGAAGGTTTTGCAATTTCCCTGAACCTCACCTAATAAAGGCTTTGCCATTTGCCATGGGTCTGAAGCACTGGGGTCCTTGACATGTCTACGTGCATGTCAGCAATACACATTCACTCAGGACTTCATTTATTCCCCCACAGAGTTGCAGTGTGCTGAGGCAGAGTGGTATGGAGGAGGAGAACCAGCTCTGAGGTGGAACCCATTGGTGTCTCTGACAGGGGACAGGAAGGCCTTCAGGCTGTGGCTTACCTTTCCAATCATTTCTCCATCTTTCCTAACTCTTGGTTCCGATCCTGGCTTCCACCATGCCTGTGTTGTGAGCATATGGTATTTAAGCAGTTGATCCCACAGAACCATCACCACCAAGGTGACCATAGGGGACATCAGGTCTTTAAGCCCAAGGCTAGAGATCTTGAGTGTTTCAGGCCCACACCTGTGTGAAAATCTGGTTTAAAATGTGAACCATATTTCCAGGAAAATTGAAAATGCCTATTTGTACAAATTATTTGCTAACGACTCCAGAGGGTTCAGTTCCCTCAAAGCCTATCTGTGGGCCTCTGGATTTCCAATTAAAGTCTCAGGAAGAAATGGAAAAAAAAAATGAGAACAAATATCTGATCTCCTCCCTATGTATGTTCTTTACTTTTTTTTAATAGCCTATAACCCCACCCACAATCGGGCCACGCTTGAAATCACGAGAAACAGGAGGAAGTATACACCCAGATGACAGCCCCTAGGGGCACTGGCCTCACTTGGAGGGTCTATTTCCATTATTATAGCAATTCTCAGGCTGTGGGCTACAATTTTCACTCGAGGCAAGGTATTAAATTGAAATTACCCCGGATGTAATGGCCATACAAAATAATCCCAGACACATGGAAGCAAATGCTTTCTCAAGATGGGACTTAGTTGCTTATACTGAGGCTTCAGAGCTCTGTCTCTTTAAGTATTGGGAGGAGGCAAGGGGCAGGGGGCAAGCAGTTAGCTAGAACCCACCTCTGAAGCAGCCAGTCCAGAAGTGAATATGATAAGGCTTCTGTTGGGTTGATCTGCTCTCTGGCCAGAGGCTTGGGTAGGAAGACTAGGAGGGCCCATATTTGGGCAGAGCCCAAGACTTGGAGTTTTGTTCCTGCAACTGTTAGGAAATACTGTACTTGAACTTCGGAATATGGAAAGGACAACGCTTGTTTCCATTTAGGCTCTAAGCCCAGGTTCTCCGCCATGTGAGACATTTAGTTTTGGTCATTCTCAGTTGATGCCTGTGGCCCTAGGCTCTTCTGTTTTGCTCTCAAAGGTCTTACTTACCATCTGCCTTTGCTTGCCAGATGTTCGCTGCTGGTCTACTGCATGGATCTTCCCCCCACCAGTATCATCATCACCTTCCACAATGAGGCGCGCTCCACTCTGCTCAGAACCATCCGCAGGTAAGGCATCTTCCCGACTGGTCACGCAGCCTGGTCCTGAGTCAGGCTTGTGTCTGCTCACTGGGCACCTCACAGGCATGTACCAGGCACTGGTCTATGCATCACGTGACTCCACTCTGCCACTCCTCACAGGCTGATGAGTGAGAGAGGCCATCATCCCATTTTTAAAGAGAAAGACAGATGCTAATAGTGGCTGGTGACTTGCAGCCATTCAGAGACAACGCAGAGGAATGGATAAAAGGCCCTTTGCCCATCTGTGCCAGGCTCTCTGAAGAACGTGGACTGGCATGGTCACAACAGAGGAAGGAAGCTCAGATAGTCGGGTTGCTCGCAGCATCCCCGGCCTCTGGCTAGGATCAGGACTTGAGTGTGCCTTGGGCTGCCCATCTTGTGCTGCACTTTCCCCAGGCTAAGACAATGGTGGGGGGGAACAGCTGTGGGCAATCACTGATGGACGCTCTCAGGGCACCTCCATTCAGTTCCAGTCCTGCTTCCCTTGAGCTTCCGGGACACCTTGACACTAGTTTCAGTCATGTTCCCGCTGTGAGAGGTCCATTGTGACAAAGATGGCCTGTGGCCTGCCTAGCTTTTCCATATGCTCAGGTCTCAGTGCCAGCCACAAGCAAACTGGCCCTAGAACATGGAGCAGGGACCGGACTGGGAATTGTGCCCCTGGGTTCTTAGGAGACTCTGGCAGGTTTGGGCTGCCATTCTCTGGAATGACACTCCTTTCCTCTCCCCGACTCCACCCCCCCCCGCCCCCATCCAGGTCAGCTACCTCATTCTCTCCCTTCCTCAGATCTCCAACAGTAGCTCCCCTATCCTAACTAGTAAGGTCAGTCAGTAAGGACAGACTTGGGCTTCTGCCCTCAGCTGGGGTGATAAGTAGGTCAACAGAGAAAAGTGAGACCTGGAAGTCCCCCATCAAGGTCACATAGCCTAGATTCCAGCCCATGTCTTCTCACTTGCCTGTACCAGGAAGGCAAGTCATAAGGGAGGGCTCAGCACTGCTGGTGTGGTGTTGGGGCTTTAGGGGTACAGCTTGAACTTCTAGCACAGAGCCCAGCCTCGCCAATGAAGTGCCCACAGAAGCCCCATGTTTATTTGTTTTTGTCAAACTCAAGCGAGAGTCACTGGAGAGGAGAAACTTCAACTGAGAGAACGCCGCCATCAGATTGCCCGTAGGCAAGTCTGTAGGGACATTTAAAAAAAAATAATAATTGATATGGGAGGGCCCTGATCACTGTGGGCAATGCCATCCCTGCACAGGGGGTCCTGAGTGCTGTAAGAAGGCAGTCTGAAGAAGCCATGAGAAGCAAGCCAGTGAGCAGCCCTCCTCCATGGCCTCTGCATCACTTCCTGCCTCTAGGTGCCTGCCTCGACTTCCCCTCAGTGAGAGAATGTGTCCCGAGAGTCACCAGTTATATGAAAGCTTTTCCTTCCCAAGTTTGATTTTGGTCATGGTGTTTTGTCACAGTAATAGAAACTCTATCTATGGCACTTCATGTCCCAGAGACACACAGTTTACCAGGCAGCATGTGGGAAGGTCATCTGATACAGAGAGGGGGAAAATGAGATTAAACATGGATGGGCCAGAGAATGTCTGAAACACAACAGACCTCCCTCTCATCATCTCCAAAAGACAAGTCACACTGTCCCCATTCTTCCACACCTGTGTGCTTTGGCAGTGGGGGATTCTGGGGAGAGGGAAGCAAGACCAGCAGTCGACTCACCCCAAGGGGACATACCATGTCTTAACGTCCACCTGTTACTGAAGGTTGAATATCTACTGTGTGGGGCCAATGCTTCCCTTACAGGAAAGAACCCACTCTTGGGGAAGAAAGAGCAATTTCACCTGCAGCCTGCATGCCTTTGGTATCTGATGGCTAGCTATTTCCCCCAACTGCCAACCCTGTCCTGGCTTCTGTACTCACCCCACGGACCGTTTCATTCATATTTCCAACAAGAAAGACAACAGTTCTTCACACATACACACACACACACACACACACACACACACACACACTACAAACTGTTACAGCAGGTCACTACCAGTGTCACTGTAGATAATGAAGTGCCTGGCTGGTTTGCAAATCAATGTAGGCATGCAGAGGGGACAAGAGAAAGGGTGATTTCTCTGAGGACTCCATTGGTATCTCAGGGGTGCTCTTGCTTCTTAGCCGAGAGCCGGAAAAACACAAGGGATGGGCTCAAGATGGGCAGGAGCATGATGGGACAGATGATGAGAGAAGAGAAAATCACAGCCTCAATGAATTGGCTCTTTCTCAAGGGGAGAGAAAGCAAGACCTGAAGAATTCACCATGGCCAGTGTCAGGGCAAATCCTTCCAGGGTGTGAGACTGGTGGTGTCTGTCCTATTCTTCTTGGAACAGCTGTCAACCCTTTACCTCCCATGGGGTGCAGGCACATGGCAATGGTCCATGACTTTTTATCTCCATCCTTTTTCGTCATTGGTAATTTCCTAGACCTAGAGAGGCACTTTCTGGGTGAAGATGGTTAGGAATTTGGACTCTGAGACCACATTTGCCTAGTTCTGCCAGTAACAGCTGTGTGACCCTGGGAAAACTGCCGGACCCCTCTGCCTCAGTTTTCCGTTCTGCCAAAAAGAAACTATGATTACTACTAATCCCTGAGCATGAGTTCAGTGAAGAATGGATAAGTACAAATAGGTTTAACTGTCAGGGTTCTCCACAGCACAGAACCAATGACATCGATGGTTATAAAAGGACATTTGCTAGGTTAATTTACAAGATCAGCACCACATAGTCTAACCATAACAGTCTGCCAGCTGGAGAACCAGAAAAGCCAGTCCCCAAAATGGAAGCCTCAGAATAGGGGGTGGGGAGGCATGGGACATAAAGATGGCTCAAACAGTAATGGCATTTGCCACTAAGTCTGGAAGTGGAGTTCAACTCCTGGGTCCCACATGGGGGAGGACAGAACCAACTCCTGAAAGTTGCCCTCTGACCTCCATATAAGGGCCATGGTCTGTGCACACATACACATGAATGAATGAGTGAGTGAATGAATGAATATAATAGAATTAAGAGGAGGTCAGCGTCACAGCCCCATTCTAAGACTGAAGTCACTGAAGCTCCCTGGAGACAGTCTGGTGTGAGTACATGTTTAAAGACCGAAGACTCTGGCATTTGATGTTCATGAGCAGCCATAAGGGTGTGCACCCACTCATGGAGAGTCAAGCTCTGGACTGGTAGGCTTCTTCCTCTCAGTTTTTGTGCTGTCTGAACCCCAACTTAATGTGTGGTACTGCATACATGGGGTTGAGTCTTCCTCCTTCAACTGGATGGTGCACATGGCAATCTTTCTGGAAACGTGTTCACAGACGCACTCAGAATATGCTTTACTAATTTTGGGAATATCTCTTAATCCCTCCAGTGTGCCCATCAAGATAAATCACAGTAAGCAAAAGACCGGGATCTGCTGCTGGCACAGAGGGAAAGCATCGATGTGGCTGAGCCTCTAGTCCCGATAGATAACAATGTTCTGATATGGGGGCTCTCCAACAACGTGAGAAGTCGCCAGATTCTCTTGGAGGGCTTGCTAGAACATGCCTTCTTGGGCTCCAGCCTCAGAGACTCTGAGTCAGTGAGTCTGGAATGTGGCCTAAGAATTTGCATTTCTGACAAGTCCCCAGGCTGTGACAGTGTTGCTGGCAGGGGGGTGGGGGTGGGGCTGCTGCGACTGAGAATCAGAGCCAGCTGTGCCTTGTTTCTGTTATTGGTAGCAGCTCCAATAGTCTTATCGCCAGGTGCCCACATTCCAAGAGCAACTGGCATGTGCCAGGCATGGTGCTAAGCGATGCTCGCGAAGCCCAGGAAACCATGGCATTTGGAGGCCCGGTACTGACTGAAGCCTTCCTGCTGAGAAGCGGAGGCCGCACAGACATGTGCTTGAACCGCAAAACCTGTCTCACTCCGGAACGACCACACTCAGCTGTCAGCTGGCCCCGGGTCTTCTTCATTCAACTGGTATTTATGGAGCGATTGATAAGGCCTGTCTGCATACAGCTCTGCGGAGTTCACGGAGCAACTTCAAATACGCTTCCTCTTTTCATACGCACAAAAGCCTGTGAAGTAGGTCAAGTATTAATATCACCTGCTTTTTACAAGGGAAAGGTAATTACAGAAGGAATGGAAGTGGGGAGCCGACCTGCTCAGGACTACACAGCAAGATGTTGTAGGGCTTACTGAGTCCAAGCCTGTGAGTCTACGTTCCCCAAACTACTCCCCCCCACGACGTGACTCGAGGCCCCACATGGACCCCATAATTAGATCACAGAAATCAGGGGAGTGGGAGAAGTCATTGATTCTGCCTTGTGTGGCTGCACATAGGAGACAGATCCAAAATGATTCCTTGGACAGTGCGGCCCACACATGCCAATGAGATGAGCGCGTCGACCCATCCTGCGGTCACGTGAAGAAAGACGGGTGGGGCAGCTAGGATGGAGTGAGGCAAGGCAAACTGAGCCCTGGGGAAACAGGAGGAGGATTTACTCTGCTGATGGGGGGCTGGTGAGATGCCTGGACTGTAGAACCTGTGAGGTGGACAGAGGGCGGGAGATCACAGCAGCCAAGGTTCAGATGGCAGGAATTGGGGGCGTGGGGGGGGGGAGGAGGTGTTGAAAGGAGGGGGGTGGAGGGGGGGCCACCCAGGCCAAGGTCCCTGGGCCGGACTTCACTTTTTCCTTTTCCAGCCACTTCAGACATCCAGAGTACCTGCCCGTCTCAGGTGCTCCCAGCCTTGAGGCACTTGTAGGGAGACCCCCACCATCCCTTCATTTGCTCGGATGACAGGAGCAGAAGCAGGCCAGGTGTTAGCAGGAAATGGTCTAATTAGCCCTCACTGCTGACAATTTCCTTCTCTCTCTCTCCCTCCCCCCTCCCCTGACCCCCACCCCCGTGTTCTAAACCCTGGACATTTTTTATTC